TTATAGCTATATAATAAAATGTTTACCACAAGTACAACCTCTAGCATAAATTAGCGGTTGTCATTAACATGTGTTTTCCGTTGTTTTACAATCAATATAATTAATTCAAACTCCGGATTTCTTTGCAGTTCAAAATCTGCAGATAGCTGACCAATCCGTACTAATACGGTTTTTTGTGTAATCCGATCAATACCACTATTAACATGATCTCCAATATAGTTATTTCTATTTGAGGAAACAAAATTTTTCAAATTAAAATCGAGTCCTTATTTTAAATGCAAGAACTTAGCTTCTTTGTATCTTTACTTTTTGTAAAAATTACATTCTAGAAATGTACTACAGATTACAATATTTAATACTGATTGGGTAACATGATTTACCCATAAAAGTATAGTGAGATATATTAAAGTTTAAATTATAAGGGATACTTAATGTAGTATTCTTCTGTATAAACATATCTGGCATAGCGGGTCCAAGTGACCTTTTAGTATATATAACGTTCTTTAACGAAGATCCGAATTAGAAACATTGAGGTTGTTTAATAAATATAAATATCTGAGTTTTTTCATCTTTCTCTAAATTTTATTTTTTTTAAAAAAATTATGATTATGAACCAATTTACAAGCCAAACAATTATTGGGCAAGTACAGAGACCTCTTAATGCTTTTAATCGACCTCGTGGACGATTCCAAAGACAACCCCAGAGGTCTCAACGTCAAAGCACCATGAATCCACCCATTTTAAATATTGGAAGACGACGTCAGAGAAATCGACCCCTAAGTAATATAAATCCATCTATTAATATTTTTACTGCAATTCAGCAATACACCGATTTGGCTGAAGGTTCGAATCCATTTATTGATTTGCAAAATGCCAGAATTCCGTCACAAAATGCTCAATATCAAGACGTATTATTTTTGGGTAGTCCGTTCCAATAATAAAATATGCGCATGAATTATATCTCTAAATATGAAAGAACTTTTAACTACTTATTTGAGATTTTTACAATAAGAAATTAAGTTTAGTTTTAAGAATTTTATTTTTATATTTTATTAACGAAAGTTATTTAATCTTGTAATATTTAAATATGACATGATGTCGAAAACTTGATTCGGCAATCATTATTGGCCAATAACATAATTTTAAGTAGATCATTTAATTTAGATTTGAAAAAAAATATGTTTTTAATATATTTTTATCGAAATCCTAAACAGCAACGAGTGTTTGTAATAAACTAATAGACATCAGTTTAGAGAAGGAAAATTG